ATATTTTTCTTTGATCTAACCGACGTATCTGATAGGAAACTTTTATCGAAGAAAGACGCGTCGTCTATTCGACGTGGTTCGAACAGCGTATACCTAAGAATACGTAAATTGAAAGTTTGATCGGCCCGCTCGTAGTATCGCACTCGCTCTATGGGTGGGCTAATGGTAATTACGGGTTTAGACTACGCGATCCGATTGACTGGGCGGGGAGATGGTATCTACGGATGAGTGCGGAATGAGTATCGGTCTTATTAATAACGGGCTTGTGGTATAACTTTCCTATCCAAGCATAATAATCTATCGTTGACTAGGTGTGGGACTTTCTTATATCTTAATGGTAGCGCCGTTCCAATTACTCCACTCAGCCTCGCTTATCGACATACGATCCCATCGCAGATTGACAACTGTGCAAATAACTATACGTATATATATATACATATATTTACTCGTAAATTGTTTTTAATTTATACTACACCATTCATCGAGAACCGAGATCCAATATACTCTACGTATATTCGATTTCACCGAAAATAATTACGACGTTCGTTGTTATCTAGTAGGATAAGAGAAAGAAAAGAGAAGGAATTTGGAATTCGAAATGAAATTGATTGCGAAAAGAGCGGTGAAAAGAGAAAATAGGAAGAAGGAACGAATGAATGGAAGAGGAAGAAAGCAGGAATCGAAGCTGTGGGTTGCTGCCCACCTGTAAAATTTACTAACCCTGGCTACGTCAACGGTAGTTTATTTTTCGCACGGTATAGCCGAGCTTCCTCCAGTCGAAAGCAGGATCGGTCTTCTCCGCTGATTCCACCATTCAATTTCACGATCCTTAGCCTAATATACGACCGCGACTAAATCAGGATTATCGAGCTACGAGCTGTACCTCCATTGTGAACCTTCGTGGCGGTCCGTCCGTCCGCGCGAGCTGAAGTGTAAAATCTTTTCGCGAGTCCCAGTTTTCCTACTTTCCCCTCCCCTCTTTCCTTTAATTTGTCGATATATATTCCACTTTGTCGCGACAAAATCGACGAACAGCGATTATTTTTACATTTCGACTAGATGAAAAAGGTGATCGTCGTTTCGAATAAATTGAACGAGCGCGACAAGAAGCGTTTTCGAAAAGAAAACGTGGAGGAAACCATGTGGGCGTCGAGGATGCGCTTTCATGCCTTCGACTCGAGTCGTAAGTAGGCTGCATTTCCAAATTTCTCGTCCCTCCCCTCTTATTCAAAATCGACAATTTCACCAAAAGATTTGGTGAAACGGAATTAACCACGGAAGATACCGATGTAACGTCATCGGTTTATTTATACCTTTGGTACGGATAGAAATATCTTCAAACGATATTACAAACGACCTCGTAAAAAAGCAGAACGTTAACGTTGTATTTACTAGGTTACCATCACTTTTTCTGGATCGTAAAGTTTTCCAGTACTCGTCAAGCGTGATTAACGACCACTTTAGATTTATATTCCCATTCCACGTAAATGTTATTCGTAATTTATTTAACGTATCTATTAAACCGAATAAATCAAATATAAGAAATTAAAAAAAGAAGAAAATAGTGGAGCACAGTCGAGTAAAATAAATCGAAGGAAATTTCCATCTTTAATTTTAAGAAGTTTGTATTCGAAGAATCGATAAGAATCGGCCGATGTTGTAAAAGTATCTCGATCGGGAAACATTAAATCGGATCGAGTGAAACGATGCTCCGTTGCGGAAAACGGTTTCAGACGATTCTCCGTTAAATTCTCTCTTATGGACAAGGAGCAAACTCCTTGAGAGGAGAGGGAGAGCGCATGGAGAGAATGGAGGAGACAACTCGCAGGGAGAACATTTTCGTTGCACGAGTGCGGCCAACGGTTATACTCCCCCGCTGTATAGAATCATAGAGAAACGCCATATAGACTGGTATATGGCTGCCGCCAACTGATATATGCTCGACGTTATCTGTATCCACTTACTTCCTCGTTTGGCAGAAGATTCGAGGCGATTTAAAATGGGTCACCTTAACTGGAGGAGACATGTACAACAAAGGAACGTGTCGGAAGTAGCAGTTGCTATCAAATTCTTGAATCATTTCCACCGATTATAACGTCTTTCGTATTCATCGAACGAAACATTCGAAATGAACGGTTTTAACGCGTACCAGGAGGAACCCAAACATGGTTTCAAAAATGGTTAAAGGGGATCGATAAAGATCAAAGATTAACGCGATATGCATACGTATGAATTACGCGTATAAGATTGTTATCGGTATACGCGATATCAAATTGTTCGCTATCTACGTAGAGAAACATAATTGTAATAAAATCACGAGTGGAATATCAGGATTCGGCATAAATCAAAACGATGTATCGAAAGCAACGATTTCAATAAAATTTCTATGAAAAGTATAAACGTTACCGCGGTGGTTCGGTTTAGCATAAATCAAAACGATCCATCCAAGTCGGATAAAAAATGAAAGGTGGGATCATTAATCTTTCCTATCGTTTGCACGGTAGGTATAATTTTTCGGAAATGAAACGACTTTACGAGGGCCTGTTGAAAATTGATTCACCACCACCCGTGTTGCGTGCCTAATTCTCAAAGCGTGTTATTCGCGTATACGATCAAATTTAACGTTAAAATACAGCGTACGTTTTTTTCAAGTATCGACGTTCGAATATTCACATATTTCATAACGTTTTTGGAAAGTTGTAAGTCGCGTAAGAGACGTTTCTCCGTCGGCGAGATTAAAAAAAAAAAGAAAAAGGAAAGGAAAAAAAAATAGAAAAGTCCATAAAGTTCTTTCGAATTCTACGATCGTGGCCGAGCAATAATGGTATCGGTAGCTGTGGGAGATCTTTAAAAAGGACTTTCCGTATTGTTCTCCGATCTTTCCTCCGTTCCTTTCGATAGATCCCGCCTCGATGATAAGCTGACAATTAAAATATACTACGTGGCGTATCTTATGGAAAATCGTTGAAATATGAAAATAAGCAGTCCAGAATGGAGTATCTTTCGAAAAGAATTTTCCGAAGGAAAAAAAAAAAAGAATGTCCCGTCGTTCTCTTTTGAAATTTAATATATATCGCGTTGTGTCACGTTGAAACGCGCGCGGTTATTTTTATTAGATTTCCATCGACGAGGAAATTATTTTTATTTCGATCGTAAAGGAAAGATAAGACGAGCGTTTAAGGAGATTAATAACAGGCCTTGTAAATCCCGATACGGTATACTACTTTCGCTATTCCGTGTTACGTGGGTAACGAATTAGTATCGACTCTCGAGGCGAAGTTTTATAGACTGGCATTAGACATGGTGCGTCCCCTCTATCACCAGGCATCGTGAAAGCTCGCGGCACAAGAACGTGTTTCTGGTTGGACATAAATAATAGGACCACGTCGGCAATCGCTATAATTCAATTCACACCTGATAACTGCGACCGTAGAATTTCCATATTACAGGCTGTAATAAAATTAAAAATATTTTCGGGGCGGTCCATACGCTTCGGGGGGTCTCTTCCCTTCTCCTCTCCCTCCCCCCGGACAAACTAGCCAAGGTTCGCGATCCTTCACGTTCGCCGTCTTACGAATTTGTTCCTCGAATTTGTTTCCGTTTGTGTCTCACCTGCCCTTTCCCTCCTCCACTACACACGCTCACGCATACCTACGACGAATGGCAAGCGACCGACAAACTTAAACGGTGCTGGAAGATTATCGTTTCATTCTTTCTTTCTTCCTTCCTTTCTTTTTCTCCAATTCCTTTTCTCGAACGACGAAAACAAAAGGAACAATTCTTTCTTTCGTTTTTTCTTTCGTCGACGAACGAAAGAAAATTTCACAGCACAAGTGTAAAGGCAAGAATTATGCCAGTCTTTTCTCCACGAAAGACGTTCACGAAACGTTATACAAATTTCCTCGAGTCGACGTTTCGAATTCCGTCCCGCAAATGAATTACGACATTACGAAAAGAGGAAATTTATTATCGATGGCTAAGCAGCTAGCGGACATCCAGCTGACCGGATCATAAATTTAAGAGCGAGCAAAGAATCAATTTCACCGACAACGGGATGAATCCGATAACCTATAATCTATACCCCTAATCCGTATTACACTCACAGGCGTTATTTTCTCGGCCTTTCACCGACCACTCTCTCTTCCACCGTCCACCGTTGATTGTTTTAGCTACGGGGGTGAGAATACATTATACATTATTAACGAACAAGCGGCACGACCAAAAACAAGATTAACG